ACAATATAATCCATAGTAAAAAGAAAAGTCAATCAATCTAAAACAAAACTGTCTCACAAGTTAGAATTAGCAGACAGGGACATTAAAACAGTTACTGTAACTCTATCCTAACCATTCACAAAGTTAAGCAGAGACCTGGGTGATATTAAAAAAAGACCCAAATTGCATTTCTGGAAATGAACATTACTATGTTCAAATACAATGTTGGTAGTATTAATGGCCAATTTGACATTGCCAAAGAAAAGATTAGTAAACTTAAACTCATACCAATAGAAAGTAACTGAAATGAAGAATACATAGGGAAAAAAAGATTTAAAAAATGAGAAGAGCATAAATGACCTGTGGGACAATTGAAATGTCCTAATACAGGGTGTCCCTCCAAAAATGTATACACTAACAGCTGATAGCACCATTTTGAAAATGAAATGTATTTTTTATTTATTATTTTTTAAAAATATATTTTATTGATTTTGTACAGAGAGGAAGGGAGAGATATAGTTAGAAACATCGATGAGAGACAGACATCGATCAGCTGCCTCTTGCACACCCCCTACTGGGGATGTGCCCGCAACCAAGGCACATGCCCTTGACCGGAATCGAACCCGGGACCTTTCAGACCCCAAGCCGACGCTCTATCCATTGAGCCAAACCGGTCTTGGCATGAAATGTATTTTAATAATCACTGCCCTTTATAGTTATTCAAAGTGCGTACATACTTTTTTTTTGCAACACCCTATATCTGTGTAAATGAACTCTCCAAAGGAAAGAGATGGGGACAAAAAATTTTTGATAAATAATGTGACCTTCCTTTCTCCCATTTTTCCAAAACAGCTTAATTAACACATAATTCACATACTATATAATTCTCCTATGTAAAATGCAAAATTCAATGGTTTTTATATATTCACAGAGCTGTGCAATCATAATCAAAATTCCCTTGAGTTTCTCCTTTGTAGACAATTCTTTCTCCTTCTCTCCCAGGCCCAGCTCCTGGGAACCTAAGATCTCTGTGTAATTCTCTGGAGATTTATCCAAGTTGTTGCATGTATTGTTAGTTTGTTCCTTTTTATTGCTGAATAATAAATATCCCATGGTATGAATGTACCACAATTTATTTGACTATTTACCTGTTGCAGAACATGGGGTTGTTTACAGTTCAGAGTGATCATGAAAAAACTATTAGGAACTCCATGTACAGGTTTTTGAGTGAATGTTTTCATTTTCTTGTGTAGTGATAGGTCACTGTGCTTAAATTTTTTTTTCTTAGAAATGTATGCCTTTATTTTATACAGTATGTTACTGGCCTTCCTGGGATTTCAGAGATCTTTTAACTCTACCACTGTTTCATCCTCCCTATTCCCCAGCCTTGTTGAGCCGATCATTACAATTAGGGTTTGAGTTGCTTCCTTTTGATCCTCTTGTGTTGTAAGTATGACCATATATTTTCATTCCATGGTAACCTCCTGGGTGAGATGCTGGCAAGAAATATGTTACAGGATATTGGTATTTATACTAGAAAATGTTTTAGTAGGACATTTTCTTACTACAATCAAAGCTTCTCTGAAAATTTTCATCCCTATCTAGAAATTGTTAGATATTCCTTTTAGAAGCAAGGGTACCTTGACACTACCTAATGGCAATTTAACTTATCTCTCTCCAGCTCTGGGGATATGGAACATTCTATAGGTATTATGGAATTATAGAAGTGGATAGAATTTCTAAGGTGATATTCTGGAATGAGTTGGTTTTCTAGCTAGTGGTTGCTCTCCTAGGAATGAGAATAATTCAGCTCCCTGTCTCCTCTAATGGATACACACTGGTTTGGGGCCATGAATCTTGTCTCCCACCAATATTTTATGGCCATTTTGTACATTCCAGATCACAAAATGTCATCTCAGAATGAGTGAACCCCTCCTGCATTCAGGGAGGAGGACATTTGTATCCCAAAGACCTGTGCTTAAATTTTTATTTCCCTAATGGATAATGACATTGAACATTTTTTCATGTGCCTATTTGCCATCTGTTTGTCCTTTTTGGTGAGATGTCTATTCATGTCTTTTGCCCATTTTTAATTAGATTATTTTTCACTGTTGAGTTTGAGGCTTCTTTATGCATTCTAGATACTAGTCCTTTGTTGGGTATGTGGTTTGCAAATATTTTCTCCAAGTCTGTAATAGCTTGTCTTTTTATTCTCTTAATACAGAGTTTTTGTTTTTGTGGTTTTTTTTTTTTCAGAGTAAAATTTTCTAAATTTGATGAGGTCCAATTTATAAATTTTATGCTTTTGGTGTTAAATCTAAAAACTATTTGCCTAGTCCTAGATCCTGAAGATTTTCTATTATGTTGTTTTTCCTAAGTTTTATAGCTTTATATTTTATATCACATCCATGATTCATTTTTGAGTTATTATTATTTTTTTAACAGGATATGAGTTTTGGGTTGAGGTTCATTTGTGTTTTTGTTGTTGCTGTTTTATTTTTTGCTTATGGATATCTCATTGTTGTAGCACCATTTATTGAAATATATTTAAAGAAATGTTATTCAAGATGTTAATAATGAAAGAGACTGGGTGCAGGGTATATGAGAATTCTTTGTACTGTTTGCTTAACTTTTCAGTAAATAATAAACTGTTCTAAAAAATGAAGTCTGTTTAAAAATACCAGTTGGGCATATTTGTGCGGCTCTATTTCTAGGTTCTCCTTCTGATGCATTGATCTATTTGGCTGTCCCTCTGTCAATAACACAGTTTTGATTGGTGTTTGGTATTGTCATAGGGACAGCTTTCTAGTAGGCCTCAATAATTGGGTGGTTGGGCTTTTTTTTTTTTTGCCCATTTTTAAATTGTTTTTAATTATTGTTGAATTTTGAGAAAGTGCAGTACACTAGACAGAAACCCACTGGTTGCAAGCACGCAGTTTGTCTTGGAACCAGTGGTAGGTTTTACAGAAGGAATGGAGAAAGTTAGTCTAATAATTTGGTTAAGTGAAAGTTGCCTATAAAAGTTTCTATTTATTTTTGTTTCTAGTTTTCTTCCCAGGGTTGAAAGAACACGTATCCAACTGAATTAACTTGAGTTATTTGATGAAGTTGTGGAACTGCAATATATTTACAGACTTGGGTTACTTGTTGGAGGTGATGGTAACCCAGATCCACTGGACACTGAATCTAGGTTAACCTTCTAGATTTATTCCTCCTGACAAACTAGATCCCTACTTATATAGTTTGGCTTTTGAAAAAAGAATTCCTAAGGCCATGCCTTTCAGCTAGAATTTAACGTGTTTCATAATCTAGTGTTCTGCATAGTCCATAGGCATACCTAAAATTATATCTTTACCCCGTTCCCTCTTCATTCCCCCAAAACCTTTATTAAACATTTTTTGTTTTGGGTTCATGGGATTCCCCCAATTTGTCTCCTGTTGACTAATTAAAAAGCTTTAACCTTTCCCCCAACCCAGACCCCTTTGGCAGTCTGATGAAGCCTATAGATCTCTTATTGGAATAATGTTCTAAAGTCTATTTCATAAAATACATAATATCACAAAGGAAGCCAATTTTTGAAACACAGTTACCAAAATATTAAAACAACTTGCAGTATATTTATATATACTCCTTTAAATATAGATTATCAAGATCTGGTGACAAATTTAATTGCTATGATAATTTAAAAGTAATGATGAGCAAAAATGATATTTCAAGATATTTGCAACAACCATAAAGTTAATTGAAAATATCTGTGAATTCTATTGATGACAAAGTCCTTGGTACTGATATTGCTGTGGTATATTGTCTCCACTTATATTAGAAGGAAGTGTTAGATTTTCTTTTCTTTTCTTTTTTTTTAATATATATTTTTATTGATTTTTTACAGAGAGGAAGAGAGAGGGATAGAGAGTCAGAAACATCAATGAGAGAGACATCATCGATCAGCTGCCTCTTGCACACCCCCCACTGGGGATGTGCCCGCAACCAAGGTACATGCCCTTGACCGGAATCGAATCCGGGACCTCTCTGTCCGCAGGCCGACGCTCTATCCACTGAGCCAAACCAGTTCTGGCAAGGAAGTGTTAGATTTTCAATTACAGGTTAGTGAAAATAAGGATGTGATTTTTTTTCCCTCTCATCTGAGTTCATGGCTTAATGGAATCCTCTATCTGTTTATGAGATTTTCTCCCTTTTTACATTTTACCTTTTTTTAAAAAAAAAAATCCTCACCCGAGGATATGTTTTTTATTGATTTTTAGAGAGAGAGAAAGAGGAAGGGAAAGAGAAAGAAATATCAATCTTCATGTACACATCCCAGGGATCAAACCCACAATGTAGGTAGGTATGTGCACTTACCAAAAATGGAACCCACAACCTTTTGGAGTACAGGATGACGTGCCAATGAACTGAGCCACCCAACAAGGGTCCACATTTTACTTTTTTTTTTTTCTTTAATTCTCACCGAGGATATTTTTCCATTGATTTTTTGGAGAGGGTGGAAGAGAGGGAAAAACAAGAGAGAAATATTTACGTGAGAGAGACACATTGATTGGTTGCCTTCTGCACAATCCGACAAGGGCTGGGAGAGCAACCAAGGTACTTGCTCTTGACAGAATCAAATGGAACTCAGAACTCGGAACCCTGAGGTCCGCAGGCCAACGCTCTATCCACAAAGCCAAACCAGCTAGAGCCCACATTTAAAATTTTTAATGGTCTCATCTATTACCATGTTCTGTTCATTTTTATTAACCCCCCTGAGACAAGTTTTAAATGGAGATTAATGGGTGTGAGAGATATCAGGGAATGCAGACTCAGCTCCTGAAAATTGCTGCCTGTCCTCGCCTCCCACCCTTCTCTGACTCCCACACTCCAAGTTCTGCCTCCCCGGCCCAGCCAGCTGTTTGTAAGCAACTCCCCAACCATGAAAACCAGCCCTAGTCACAGGGCTTGTACACTGTGTTTGTTTCTCTTTGTTTATTTATCTGCAAGACTTATCCACAGCTAGTAGTTTTCTCCTTATGATCCTGAAGCTTGTTGTGTTGGCAAAGTGTTTTGCTTTAGACATACTGAATCTGGGCAGGCTCTTTGGAATGTGTGAGAATTCAAATAGTTTTCCAGTTCCAACCTTTCTAGATCCGAGAATGCAAAATAGAACCACACATTTAAATCTTACCCAAGAAAGCAGAATATTGACTTTGCTATGGGAAATGAGTACTCAAGGAAATAAGCAACATATTGCCAGCATTGTGAAACTAAACAATGAAGTCAATCGTTTTATTAAAGTGGGGACATTTATTCAGCCTCTGCAACATTCTTGTCTCTTCAGTTTCAAATGCCTGGAGACAGGCCTTACAGTGGGACTCTCGGTGGTGAGAACAAGATGTGTTTTCTGCCTTTAGTGACACTGCTGTTTCTAAAGTGCTTTTCCTGCTGTGGGACTCTTGTTGATTTCTGCCCTAGAGGTCAAGGGCAGAGATGTTCTACTTACTTCTCTTGAGGAGTTCCCAGGAGACTGGGAGTGGACTGGATTCTGGCCAGGGTCATTTATTCTTGAAGAAATTAGAAACCAGTGCAATATTGCTCTGCTTATTCAGGAGTTAGAAACAAACCAGTATGTGACAGAGCAAGGAGGTTTATCTCCATATAGACAAACTTTTATTTTTATGGGTCTGTAGAGGTGATAAAAATGAAGGCCAGGAGAGCAGAAAATGGCTGGCATATAAAATGAAAGAGAGAGAGGGAGAGAGACTGATAAAGCAAATGCTAACCAGCAGAAGTTATTTTCACGTAGAGTAAGGATTTTTTTCTCTTATTATCGCTCACAGTTCTTTTTTTTTAATTAAAAAATTTTAGAATATATAAAGATACAGAAAAGTAGAGTTAATTATATAATAAACATCCATGTAATAACAACCCAGATAAGACAAACATTACAGATAATTGAAGGGAGAGGGAAGCTCTGATGAGTCGATGAAGATGCACAAAACAGAAAAGGTCCGTTAATCATCTTCCTGGCTCAGAGAATGTGAAGCTACCATCCAGGTAAGAACTTGTGTATCTTCTCTCCTTGCCGCCAATCCCTGCCATTTTGGAGGGAAAAAAACCAGCAGGTTTTAAGTGAGCTAGGAAGACAGGCAGGGATAGCAGAGAGCAGAAAGCCCTATTTCCCTATTCTACTGCAAGCTGCCAGGCCTTGGCTGATGAAGGAGGAAAGTTCCATCACTAAGTGAGCTTGGGACTTTTCATTATTGCAGGGGATTCTGCATTCTAATTGCTAAACTGAGTCCATGTTTGTGACTTAAAATGTCTGTGGGATTGGCCCATTATTTAAGAGAGAACAGAGAAGCCGTGGGACTCACGGAGTTTATTTTGTTCAGGAGCAGGGAAGGTGTCTTCCACTGAATAAATATGTTTAAAGGAAACAGTGGGAGTCAAAGCCAAGTTGAGTTTGATTGCCAGGAGTCATGCTTGTTCCACATACCACATGGAAAACATTTAGCCGAATCTAAGATGTCATCGAACTAAGGCAAATTATAATTGTAGATGCTGCCAAGAAAAGAAAGAAAAAAATTACTACCTATGACACATCAAAATTAAGGCAAAAACTTGTGATGAACAAACCACTACATTTAAAATAAAGACAAGGTCAGTATTGCTGATTTTTCCTTTTACCTCTGGGTTTAGCGTGTCTCACGATGGCATTGTCACTGATATTTATTTACACTTTCAATATTTTGTTCATCGTGGCTTTTTTTGGCATCGATGTTGGTTTTGAAAAATATTCATTAAATACATTTATCTTGATTTTCAAGGTTTTCTGATAAAGCCAAATTTTTCATCTCACCTGCCTCACACAATTCCTCTGGGAGATAGTGATAGAAAGAAAGAAAGAAAGAAACAAAGAAAGAAAGAAAGAAACAAAGAAAGAAAGAAAGAAAGAAAGAAAGAAAGAAAGAAAGAAAGAAAAAAAGAAAGAAAGAAAAGAAAGAAAGAAAAAAAGAAAACAAAGAAAAAAATCCCAACTAGATCCTTTTGTTTATTTTCTTTGCCCATGTAATTGCAAATGGGAGAAATAGTTTTATAAATTTCCCAAAAAGGGATCTCTTTAAAGTTCTTTTTATAAAAAAATTTTATTGAACTTATTGCTGTGACATTGGATAATATTATTATACAGGTTTCAGGTGTAAAGTTCTATAATATATTGTATCATAAATCAGCGAATGAGATACAAGATGCCTTAATGAGCCAATTAATTAATTGACTCCTAATTAGGAGTCCTTAATAAATGACTAATAAATAAAAAAATGATTAATAAATAAATTGATTCCTAATTAGGAGTCATTTATTGTGTGCGGCCCAGAGGGAGGTGTCTCTTCCAAATCTGTGAGCACCACATACAGGAAGTCTCTCATATTTATACTTTTCGAGCCTCTTTGTTTGAAGATATTACCAAGAGCTCTGTGTGAGTTATTGTTACAGACAGTTGTAACCTTGAATACATAATGAGTTTGTACTTGGCATAAGAATATGGGAATTATTGCCGAAACCGGTTTGGCTCAGTGGATAGAGCGTTGGCCTGTGAACTGGGGGGTCCTGGGTTCGATTCTGGTCAAGGGCATGTACCTTGGTTGCGGGCACATCCCCAATGGGGGGTGTGCAGGAGGCAGCTGGTCAATGTTTCTCTCTCATCGATGTTTCTAACTCTCTATCTCTCTCCCTTCCTCTCTGTAAAAAATCAATAAAATATATTTAAAAAAAGAATATGGGAATTATTATCAGTATTAGTCTATTACATTGGATGGCTAGCTTGCAAGGTCAGATAGTTAAGTTTATCTTTTTCCATTATTTGAACTAAAAAAGGAAGTCATTTTATAGAATAAGAGACTGTCTTAAAGTGACAAAGTTTACGGTGACAGAGATTATAGAACTAAGGACTATCTAACAATAGCAGAGAATTCAAGCAGCAGTTTTATACAAGATGGAGGTTACTATGCTTCAATATCATCTGTATATTGTATTATATGCTAACCACTTCAAGTCAAGTCTTCTCTATTGATTCTTAACCCCCATTTACCCTCTTCTATCTCCCCCAAAAGAAGGAAAAAAATTTCCTTCTTTTATACAGTTGAGTAGTATTTCATTGTGCAAATGGAATACTCATTATTTATCCACATATCTACTGATAGCCGTTTGAGCTGCTTCCAAATCTTGGCTGTTGTAAATAACACAACAATGAACATAAAAGAGCATTTATTCTTTTGAATCAGTCTTTTGGATGTGTTCTGCTACCTTATCTTCCAAATCACCGATTTGATCCTCTGTTTCATCCACTTTAGTGTTTATTTCTTCTAGTGTATTCTTCATTTCAGGTATTGTATTTTTCATTTCTGAGTGTTGTTTTTTTTTTGTGTGTGTGTGGTTTCTATGTCCTTTTTTAAGCTTGCTATCTCTTTGTTGAGTTCTCACTAAGTTACTTGGGCATTCTTTTAACCATTTTTTTTTTATTTTCACTTCTGGTAAATTGCTTGCCTCCATTTCATTTAGCTCTTTTTTCTGGAGATTTCTACTGTTACTGCACTTGGATCATGTTTCTTTGTCTCCCCATTTTGCTTCTCTCTTTGTGTTTGTGTCAATGTATAGGTAGATCTGCTATGGCTCCCAGTCTTGGTAATAGGTATCTTATAGGAACCATTGGCACAGTCTCCTTGATCACCTGATCTCGATGCTCTAGTAAGTTCCCTTCTGTGGGTTATGTAGGCTCTCCTGTTGTAATGGAGTCTTGATTGCTATTGGTCTGTTTGTGTGTGGGGTCAATCCTCAGGCTGGCTGACTGTGACTTTAGAACTGTACCTTAGTGTATGAGCTGCTGAACAGATGCTGAGCACACAAAGCAGAATATGGCTCAGCAGGGTCTGGTGCCTGCCAGGATCTCCCTTGGGATATGCCATGCTGGAGCTAACTAAATCTTGCTCTGATGTTGTCTGAAGCTGACCACTGGGTGTGTTCATTCTGGGACCTCTTGGGAGGGACTCTGGTGCAGGCCAATGCCAGGTGCTGCCTATGACTGGCCCTGGCAACCTGTTTGGAACTACAAAGCAATCCAGTTTGCGGGCTGTCTCTACTGCTGCATGGAAAGGACCAAGCTGTGCTCTTAGGCCAGCTCTTACCAATACTGAGCCCAGGGGTCAGCAAGAGTCTAAAGGCATTCTGAGATCTGCCTTCACCTGCCTTCACCTGCCGGCTACCTGTTAGGCTCAGTCACTGAAAGAACCTCTGGCAGGACTTGAGTTGCATGAAGTAGATTTCAGTGAATCATCAGGTAAGGGTGAGTGGTGTTCACCAGACTGATACAGGTTCAAATTCTGTGCCAGTGCTGGATCTGAGGCTACTCAGCAAATGTCAGGGCATACTAAGACTAGCTGCTACCCACTGGGTGCTCACACACCTTTGTAGTGGGGCAGGGTATCAGGGAGGCATTAGGGTAAGGCCAGCAGGATTTATAAAGCTCAAACAGACCAAGATTTTGTTGTGTGAAGGGACAGCTCTGCACTGCTCAGGCATGTGAGGGGAAAATGGTCCCTGTCCTAGAGCCACACAACTCAGACTCTCCCAGATTCTGCCAAAAGCCTCATCTCAGCAGAGTGGGTCCACCAGGAGTTGAGAAGATGGGGCTAGTAGATCTCCTGTTATGGGGAGGTGCTGGTCAAGCTGGGAGGAAGGTGGGAAGGGTTGTCCCCAACCCAGAGCCACACAACTGAGTCTGTCCCAGATTCTGCCCAGACTTTTACAGGGCGGAGCCACCATTAGTCAGGAAGGTGGGGCTCCTGGGAGCTCAGAGAGTGGGACTATCAGATTTCCTCTGAAGGAAAGGCTCCAGTCAGGTTCAAGGGAAAGTGGGGGGATAACCCCCCACCACATAGACCCACAACTCCGTCACTGACACCCTCTGAGTCTGCCCAGACCTCTACACCTTGGCCTGGGCAGCTGACTCCTCAAGAGGATGCAAGCTCTACAGGGAGGGTGGAGCTATTGCATACACACATACACCCTTACTCCCTCCCCCACCACCATCCCTCTCCTCTCTAGGCTGATGTCCTATGGGGGATAATGTTCCACCTGATAAAATGGTGTGGGAGAGGGACTCAGCACAGGTATCCTGGCAGCTGCCCCCTTAGTTCTCTCCCCAAGCCATAAACTCCAATATCTCCCCATGTGAGTCTAGTCCTCACCAGTCTCCCTCTGCCAGAGCCTTGGCTACAGACAAGATTTTGTGTTGGCATTTGAAGAGGGCACTTGTACCTCTAGCAGACTCCTGTCTCTCTGAGGCAGACAGAATCCCTGCTGATTTTCACAGCGAGATATGATGTGGGCCTCTCTTCCTGGCTCTGGTGCTCTAGAC